GAGTATATTTCTCCAGACACATGCAGCCATTCATCCAGCTCTTGCTCAGATTCGGTCAATCGAGAGAACATCCTGAGTCTAGCTTCTTCAAACTGTCCTGACGCAGTCTTTTCCCCTCATATAGGTCCTAAGACCAGAAGACTAGTGTCTACTAGTGGTGAGTCATTTCATTCCCTTTCTCTCCGTCTTCGCAGCTGCCTGTCCCACTGTAAGTCTGACCCACTTCCCTGCACTTTCCTCTCCCAGCTCCCGTAAGTTTCCTGCTCACCTTAAATTCTTCCTGAACTGTCTACACTGTGTCTGTATTGATGAGTGGATTCCATGAAGGTTTTTTTTTTTCCACCCTTGTTACCATCTGATGCCTCTATGCTTAGAATGGCTGCATGTCAGCCGGTCCCAGCTTCTTTTCTCTCCACAGTCACTGACTTCTCTCTGTCTCTCTTTCCAGTCAGCAATCAATCTAATACTTCATCTTGTTGCTCAATATTCATAATTCAAGGATCATTATTTCTATATATTTCACTTGGTTTTTCTGGGTCTCTGTTGAAGAGGGATTGGGCAGAGTGCATTAGTAGGATGCCATCTTGTCTCTGTCTCCTCTGTAGTTGATCCCTGGCCTTGTTCTGACTGATGGTACTGGGTTTTTCCATCCTTTCTTTCCAGAGATGTAGGTGATTTTATTCCTATGTATTCCATCTGGTGAGGTCCACAGGTAGAGCAACCTTCCTTCCTTCTTTCCTTCCTTTCTTTCTTATTTATTTAAAATGTATTTGCAATGATTAAGTCATTGTTGTTGCAAAATTCTATCATGTGATCTCTGGCATCATTTCTATCACAAAGACCATTTTTTTCCCCCAATTAGTGATGCTGCTTTGTTTCCAACTTTTGTGTTCCACTTACATTAATTGTCCATACATCTTGATAACGTGTCAATTTCAGACTGCATAAGTTGGTAAAATCTTCAATTTCTTCATCTTTGGCTTTGGTGGTCGATTCACAAATTTGAATAATAGTTGTATTAACCAGTCTTCTAGTGTATGGATATTACTTCAGGATAGATCTTGAAATGTTCTTTCTGACAATGAGTTACACCATTCCTCTTCAATTTGTCATGGCAAAATAGACCATGTGATTTTCCACCTCAAAGAGGCAAATACCAGTCCATTTCCACTCTCTAATAGCCAGAATACTGATCTTTATGCATTCCATTTCACTTTTGAAGAATTTCTGTTTTCTGAGAATTGTACTTCATACATTCCACATTCCGATATTAGTGGTTTTTCCCAGCTCTTTTTTTTGTCATTTTGAGTTGTGTCTCATCAACAATTGAAGATCTGGAAGGCTTTACTTTTCAATGGCTGATTCTTTTTAGAAATGAATCTGGCCACTTCTTTCTTCTTAGTCTGTCGTGGTCTGTAAGGTATTTGAAATATTGCTGGCATGGCTTCCAGCATCACAGCAACATGCATATCATCACAGTATGACCAACTGAAAGATGAGAAGTGGTGTTCCCTGGTCATGCCTTTGGAGTTATAGGCAGATCTTGCTTTCTGATCAGGTGCATGCAGTTTTGGCAATAACAAGTAATGGGTAGTTTTGATTGTTTCTTTTTTCATTCTTGTTTGTTTACATGAAATACAGGGGATAAAGGGCTAATGTAAGTGATATGACTGAGTGAATCCTGCCAAATCTAGGGCATGGAACATTGCACAGAACAGATGAAACAGCTTTAACAAATGTAGGGCAAAGTCATAATGGTGGAAAGCTGGACCTTGTTTGCATTCTGATTTGAATAAGCCAGCAGTAAAAGACACTTAGGAGATATTCATTGCACTTGGATCATTATTAACTTATTGGGTGATATTGGAAACTATTTATTATTGTATCCGTGATAACCATATTGTAGCTATGTTTAAAAAATTGTTCTTGAGTTCCCGCAAGATGGTGGACTAGGCAGAAGGACTGCACAGACCCTCTTCAACAAAGAAAAGGAAAACCAATTAACACAGACACAGAAGATAATCCTGGACCCCTGAGCCTTGAAAGGAAGGATTCAGAAGTGGACTAA